GGTACAAGCTATGTTGAAGCTTATCGAACTCAAAAATGCTATACATTTGTAAAACAAGGGTTATGGCAACTACACCGGTCATGTGCCAACACTGGGACACCGTATCTGGGCTCGACTTAATTGCGCAGAAGAAATGGCGTAGTATATTTATATCAAACCTTTCGTTTTAAGATTTTGGCCATTACATAATCCTTTTCATCCTTAGTTAGATTTAATATAAAACCTGGAAGGGTGGATTTTATCTGTGCTATTTTTTCTTTGCCTATACTATTAAAAAGCTTATAAACCTTTTCGGATCTCTCCATCTTTTTTCACAAAGCTTCGTCAGAATATTTTGCCTCAGGAATCGCTTCTCTAACCTCACTTTTGACTAATACTTGGGATCCATCCTTACCATATTTGAGTTTTAATTCTTTATATCGTTTAAATACAGCTTTCCCAAAATCAAAATAGCTGTAAAGAAGACCATGAGATGCAACTTCATTTTTAGTTTCAGCATTATCAATCTTATTGGAGAGTTGCAAAAAAATACTGGTTGCGCTTTCATTGGCTTCTTCCAAATTCTCTCCAATAGCGGGAATAGGTGTATTAGTTAATAATTCTTTGATAAGTTTTTTTAACATAGACGATACCTTCTTTTCACCAGTCTTTTTCGCTTTCTTGTTAGAAGATTTTTTCATAGAATGAGTATCTTTACATTTTTTACCCTTACTGCTTGAGGAAACAGAGGTGGATTGCTCGGGTTGAGTTGATCTCAAAGGAATACTTTCTACTTCTTCACTGTCATCATCTTCCTCCAGCATTTCTTCTTCTCCATTCATACTCATATCTATTTCTTGATTTGGCATCTCTTCTTGTATTACCGGTGAATTCATCTAAAGTTGGTTGTTCATTCTCTTAATTATTGATGAAGTACTTGATTGAGAGGACATCGAAAATCTCCATTCAGTAATCACGGGATTAATGATCGCGGTATAATTATTGATAGGGCAGTTGTTTTGTTGAGTAAGTAAAAAAATTTTCTCAATACATTCTCTATGAAAAACATGGTCACAGCTAAGTACTGTGAATGCCTTGATAGGAAGCATTAGGATCTCATTATTACACTCTGAACATGGTTCCAGCTCTGGAACTTCAATGTCTTTAACTGATTCATCCTTGAGATTTTTTAAGATGTTATAAGCAAGATTCTTAAGACTGTTTAA